GATGTATCTGAGGAATATATACAGAATTCCGGTATAGACAATTGTTTGTTAAATGAAATAGGTTGCAAGTTCGGGTCACAAATTCAGAGGGTAAGCTTCAGGAGTTGTGGCAAAATGAAACTAAGCAAAATGAAAGTTACTTTTGTAATATTTTATAAATAGAAATAAAATAATAAATTTTTAAATCTAATTAGTCGTAGAATAATAATGATACTGTAGTAATAATAAAAGTATTAGTAATAATAATAAATTGTAATAACAATAATAATAATAAATTGTAATAATAATAATAATAATAATATGTAATTAATAATAAATAAATAAATAAATAAATAATTAATTAATTAACGAATAAATTATTAGTTAATAATTTAAAGTTCTGTTTCTAATCTATAATAATTGTGGGTTCGAATAAGGTTTGGTCATGGTATAGTTTAAGGGTAGAGTATACGTAGATTATTTTGTCATATGATCAGCATGGTATTTTTCAATTTTACCAAAAAATTGAAGATGCTACTAATAAAACTTTTTATAATTATGTTCAATTTTTATTAAAATTTAATAGTATATAGATTAAAGTATGCTTTTTACAATGATATAAATTTTAATAGACATAATGTTTTAAAAAAATATACTTGTATATATCTTATATTTTCTGGGAATTGTTCAAATTTTCTGAAGTTACACAGAAAGCATTGATTTTGATTGGTTAATATCACATGACAAAAATTGTTAAATGTGTATTTCTCATTAAATATTTAATCAATTTTAAATAATTTTACCACCGTTAGAATCAGAAAAATCTATTCTACAATATTTACTTATAAATTAAAAGCAGTTAACTTAATAAAAATTTTTAAAATATTAAAAATTAAGAAAATGTACCATCAAGATCATATAAAAAATGATTTACGTACACTCTATTCTTAAATCATTGACTATTAAAATATGGCTTAAAAACTTTGCTATGCTCTCTAGTTCGCAGTTTATAAGCACAATTTCCTAATTTTTTATGAATATAATAAGGACCTTTAAATTTTTCTTCGAATTTTACAGATCTTGATGCAGCAAAATCAGAGTGTGCGACAAGGACTAAATCTCTAACTTTGAAGTCATAATACTTGAACTTCTTATTATGATGTGCAATCTGTTTCTGCTATAACTTGGCAATATTTTGTTGAGCTTGTTTATGATCAGTAAGTAGCTTTTCTATAAGTTCATATGCTTGTTGTAATATACTTCCTTGTAGATCAATTTCATCAGTTTCTGTTTCTTGTATAGGCAGAATAGTTTCAATTGGTAAAGTGGCCTGCCTTCTATATAGTAACTAAAAAGGAGTATATCCGGTAGTATCATGCTTTTTAGTATGATAAACCAACAGAACTGCATTAAGATAAGTATCTCAGTCATCAGAATCTTTAACTTTAGCAAGTGATTCATAAAGGGTTCTATTGAATCACTCTACTAGCCCATTAGTTTGTGGATAGTATGGTGATAAAAAGTGGTGCTTAATCAAAAATTGTTCACACAAGATTTTGATCAAATCTCCTCTAAAATTAGATCCTCGATCAGAAAGAATAATCTTGGGTACTCCATGACGACAAATAATTTTCTCAAAGATAAACTTAGCAAGTACAAATGCACTTGCATCAGGTATAGCTCTTGCTTCTGGCCACTTAGTTAAGTATTCAGTAGCGACAATAATATATCGATAATTTTGTGAAGTAATAGATAGAGGTTCAACAAGAACAATTTCAATCTGTTTGAAAGCTTTTTCTACTTGAATAGGATGTAATCGATCTGTTTTCTGATTCTTTCCTTGACGTTGACAAGTATCACAAGTTCGAATATAATTTCTAATATCTTCATACATGTTATCCCAATAGTATCGTTCTAATACTTTCCCAAATACTGCATCAACACCTAGATATCCTGCTGTAGAATGATTATGCATCATAAACAACACTGATTCAACTTCATTCCATTTAATAATTCGCAAAAGTTTAGTAGAGTCTTTTTTAGTTTTCTTATATAATAGTCCGTTCCTAGTACAAAAATATCTAGTACAAGATAAAAATCTTTTCTTTTCTGTTTCTGTATAATGTGAAGGTAATTTGCCTGTTTCTAAATAGTCCACTAGATATTGATAAAGGTTTAAATCTATGATTTAGAGGTAGTATTTAGATTACTGGTTCTAGGCTCAAGTCGAGATAAAGCATCAACATTAGAATGAATACGGCCAGGTTTATGAAGAATTTCAAAATTATAGGGTTGTAGTTTCATAATCTATTGACCAAATTTTCCTTTTGGTTCCTTTGTCCGTAATCACTTAAGAGCAGAGTGATCTGTAACCAAAGCAAAAACAGAGGTTCCCAGATATTTGTGAAAGTGTTCAATAGCCCACACAATACCAGCATATTCAAGCTCAGTAGCACCATAGTTTTGCTCTTCCTTTCTAAGACTTTTGCTAGCATAAGCAATTGGATATTCTTTTTCTTTATTATCTTTTTGGCTTAAAGTAGCTCCAAATCCTTGATACGAGGAGTCTACTGCAAGAATAAATCTTCTTTTAAAATTGGGATATGCAAGAATAGATGCAGTAACCAAACACTGTTTCAGTTTCTCAAAAGCTTTTTGATGTTCAGCTTTCTATTCATAAGGTTCATTCTTTTGAAGCAATTTATTCAGAGGTTGAGCAATAGCTAAAAAGTCACGAATGAATTGTCTATAATATCCAGCAAGTCCCAAAAATGACTGAAGTTTAGTAATTCTAGTAGGTGAAACAATATTTTGAACTGCTTCTATTTTCTTAGAGTCAGGTGTAATTCCTTGTTTACTAACAATATGGCTAAGAAATAGTAATAAGGATATCCAAAACTTGCATTTTTCAATATTAAGCTTAAGACCAGCTTTTCTGATTCTTTGAAATACAATCCAAAGATGGTTTAATTGACGATTCTCCAGTCAACTGAAGAATGATCATAGTGAAATGTGACGCAGTTCTATATATAAATTACTATAGGTGCGAAAGTAGAAATTTTCTAGTGATTGTCTAAAGAAAACTTTTTTTCGTACTAAGTTAATCATCTTTGAGTCTCTAATTAAAGTTGTAAAGCTTATCGAGACGAATCTAATAGTAGTTAAATCATCCAAATCAGCCTTGTGGATGCCAAGATATCTTTAAAAAACATTTTGCTAACTATATAAAATTCTTTAAGAACAATCCAAAGAATTTTATATAGATAGCAAAACGTTTTTCAAAGATATCTTGGCATCCACAAGGCCGATTTGAATGATTTAACTACCATTAGATTCGTCTCGATGAGCTCTACAACTTTAATTAGAGACTCAAAGATGATTAACTTAGTACGAAAAAAAGTTTTCTTTGGACAATCACTAGAAAATTTCTACTTTCGCACCTATAGTAATTTATATATAGAACCGCATTACGTTTCACTATGATCATTCTTCAGTTGACTGGAGAATCGTCAATTAAGAATACACAGTTGATATATTTCAGTCTTGAATCTGCTTGGCATATAACAGGGCCTAAAAGTCCCATATTATAAATATCTATCTCACTTATGTTAGACTTGTGCAACTTGATTATTTATTCTGTTCTTTTTAGAAACGTCTACTGGAACATATGTATTGTTGTTAATCTTGAACTTTCTAGAATAATCTTTTGCTACATGTGTTTGTTGTCTTGCTTGTTTACATGTTTAGTTTGTTTGTTCTGTTAATGCTTGTATAACTGTTAACGAACTGCGTTTAGAATTAGATAGTTCACCCACTTTTTGTTTAAAATTTCTTTAAAGTTTTCGTTTTTCTTGTATATTTCTTTTACCGTAAACTCTAACTTGGATGTTTCTAAGCTAAATATTTGTTGTTTCTGTTGTTCTTTCTTTTTTCTTAAGGCCTTGTTGTTCGTTTTCTATAGCCTTTGATGAGTTTTTGCTGTTTTTGTTTTCTGTTTGTTTGTATATAAATAATCAGTGGAGAGAGTTGTGTACTGGTCTGCTTTAAAATTTTCTTTTTGTTTTAGTGCAGTTTTATATATTAACTATTTTTAATGTTTTATTACAAAAATTTATTTCAAACTAATTTATATTGAAATGAATATTAACTATATATTGTGAAATTTATTTTGAAATATTTCAAAAATATTTCAAAAATTTTATTTTTTAAATATTTTGAAATATTTTGTGCTAATTTGCAAAATTTTTTTGTATCATAAATTCCTTCACAATATTTTGCTTTTTTAAATTTGCTAATATCCATTATATAATTTCATGATGTACCTTTTTCAGAAATTTTACTGACAATATCTGCTATACTATATTTGATCTCTAAGACAATTATAACAATAATAAAAGCAAATGGATATTCTATAGAATAGGTGGGCAATATAAGAAATAAGCTTCGCTACTGATTAGTAATCATTAATTTTTTTAATATCAGAGTTGCGAAGTTTGCAAAGTTTGCCCACCTGTTCTATAAAACATCCAAATTGAAACTTAGTTAAAATATAAATAAAATCTTTTTTCAAAAATATTTAAATTATAAATTATCAATTTTAAGTTTTTTCTATTTAATAAGTTTTAAGAATTTTAAAACATCAATTAAAATTGGATATCTAGCTGTCCTGTATGATCTTTATAATCACGTGATATCGGTTTTAAGCTTCGTTGCACCGTAAAAAACCAAATATTATAGGTTTCAAGTTTTTTGATTTATTGAATCATCTTTATACGCCAATAAGGCAATAACTGCTGGTTTTTGATAATAGACGAATGCTTTATGTTCATCCTCTTCAAATCCAATTCCATTAAAATAACAATTTCTTACCCGATTGTGTAATATGATTTATAACATTTAAGAATTATAAATCATTCATGTAATAAATTTTTCATGTGCTAATTAATTTATTCTTAAAGAATAATAAGTTAAACTGCATAGATAAAAAATTAATCGTTCAAGCTCATATTTTAATCTAAATATTACTTATTTATTTCTTTTTTAGGTTTAATAAACACCATATACCATTCATCTTCGACAGGTTCCTTAAATCCAGGTGCAGTAATAGAAATTTCTTGCTCTGCCGCGTCATTATCTCCAGATTTTAACATTTTTACTCTTGGTAATTTAACTTTTCCAGGTGCTAAGGGAAAGCAATTAGCTTTGAAATAATATGGGGATAACGGTGATACAATAAAATATGTTTGTTTGTATCCCGAAAATACGAAAGCATCGTTGACTTCAACTGTTACGTGAACTCGAACCGGCGCAGTTGTCCAATTAATGATCTTAAACGTAAGTGTAAAAATTTGCCCAACAATAGGGTTTGACGGTATATCTACAAAATTTATATACAAATTAAATAGATATCTTTCATACTGTTGTATAATAAAGAATATTAAAGTTACCCAAAATAACGGATAGCTCTGATTCATGTCTTTGAAGCTGTGGCACCATCATTGTTGTTTCTGTAAATGGAACAGAAATGTCTCCAAAAGGTTTATTCCTAGATAAATAAAAAGTTTAGTCGTTTCGACAAATATTTAAATATCAAATACAGTCAAACCTCTATAATCACACCCTTGGTTTTAAGAATTTGGTGCTTATAGAGAATTTGTGCTTATATAGAGGTTAAATTTTATAAGTGTTATATAAGTTGGTTTTAAAATTTTATGTAATTATAAGCAAATATGACTATAAAGGAGGTGACTATATAAAGGTCTGACTATATTTACATTACAAACAGGTTTTAAACTTGATTATTTAAAAATACAAACAGAATTTATATTCAGATATTTAAGAATACAAATAGGTTTTAAACTCAGATACCTTCTATTTTAAGAAACCGTTGCAAGGCAACAGGAGCAGACCTAGTATTAACCTAATAAATTGCAGTTTTTAAAATCTGTATAATATCGTCTTAGGCTAATTATAAAATAATTAGTTTAAATTAATAGCCTATCATCCTAATATCCTATACTAATCAATTAGATAATATCAGATTAATATATTGTTGGTTTTTATAGTCAGTAGTTTATCAGGCTAATATTAGCTTAAATGATAGCAGGCCGATATGCATAAGTTATATTTAAGTTAATAGTCTATTGGCCTAATATCATATACTAATCAACTAGAATAATATTAAACTGATATATTGCTAGTTTTTATAATTAGTAACTTATCAGTATAATATCGTCCTAGACAATTAATGAAATATTAAAAAAAAATTTGATTTAATTAGTTTTGTTTTGCAATTTTTTTTAATTTTTTTATTATTTTTCTTTCTTTAGTTTTTTTATTCACAATTTTCTTTACTTAAATCATAATTTTTATTTTATTTATTTTTACTTTTATCTTTATTTTATCTTTATCTTTTTTGTTTTATATATTTGTAAATCTTCTTTTTCTAAATTGATATTTTATAATTAGTATTAGTATAAATATTATATTTAAAAATATTTTTAATAGGAATTGAACTCTGTGTCTTACCTATAAATTTTTAAAGAATAATGACTTTACTACTTTACTAAATTACTATACTTCTTAAATATTTTTTATTTTAAGCATATTAAACAGCAAATAAAATTTTTAAATTTTATATATCTTCAAACTATTGTCCTATTGATATAAGGCAGATATAGTAATAATTATATTATATATATTTATATTTTCTTTATTTTTAGACAATATTTTAAATCTTATTATATTATTATTCTATCAGTCTATGATATTAGGCAGATATTATACAAATGCTATTAATTAGCAATTATCTTATCTTAACTTTATTTATTTATTTTTATATATATTATTTTTTTAGTTTATTTATTTTATATATATTATTTTTTAGTTTAAATTTTTAAATTTTATATATCTTCAAACTATTGTCCTATTGATATAAGGCAAATATAGTGATAATTATATTATATATATTTATATTTTCTTTATTTTTAGATAATATTTTAAATTTTATATATCTTCAAACTATCGTCTTATTAATATAAGGCAGATATAGTGATAATTATATTATATATATTTATATTTTCTTTATTTTTAGACAATATTTTAAATTTTATATATCTTCAAACTATCGTCCTATTGATATAAGGCAGATATAGTGATAATTATATTATATATATTTATATTTTCTTTATTTTTAGACAATATTTTAAATCTTAATATATTATTATTCTATTGGTCTATGATATTAGGCAGATATTATACAGATACTATAAATTAGTAATTATCTTATATTGACTTTATTTATTTATTTTTATATATATTATTTTTTTAGTTTATTTATTTTATATATATTCTTTTTTAGTTTAAATTTTTAAATTTTATATATTTCCAAACTATCATCCTATTGATATAAGGCAGATATAGTGATAATTATATTATATATATTTATATTTTCTTTATTTTTAGACACTATTTTAGATCTTAATATATTATTATTCTATCGGTCTATGATATTAGGCAGATATTATACAGATGCTATTAATTAATAATTATCTTATTTTGATGTTATTTATTTATTTTTATATATCAGTCACCCGATTTGTTATGCAGATTACGAGAATAAATTTTTTATTATAAAATTTTAGT